TTCTTCAACACTCCCCATGCCGCGCTCACGCTTGGGCACTCCCCACACAAGGTCAGAATGATCGTAGCTCTGTCTGTGTACTCTAGCACTTGTGTGTTCACAGGGCAAAACATCAAAAGTTTTACTAAGGAAAGTTGAGAATACAGAGTTCAGAATGAACAAGCAATGGCAAAGATTGACTACATCACATGCAAGGTTTGCTAGCACTCAGGCAGGTCGATCGCCAGCATGACAACATCGTCGACCTGCCAATGAAGCAAGTCTGCGGTACGCCAACGCAGCTCGAATGCGACTTGCAAACGTTGCACCCGCACGGCTTGCCAATGCAGCATCCGCGCGGCTTGCCATCATTGCATTCGCATGTGATTGTAAGAGCATGTGCAAGCACCTACTTCGCAGGTGCTTGTAGACAGTTATGCACGACGTGCACTGTCACGCATTGCGCAGGTTGTCAGTCACATGCTAACGGGGTTGCATATGATGAGCCACGTCGACCACGACCTGCCACGTCCGTCGACTTCGCCACAGCACCCTCGACGACGTTCGCGCACCTCCGCAGAACCTCGTTGAACAGGTAACTTGGTCAACTAGGTAAAGTCCCTGGCAACCCTGCAAGATGACTGGCAACCATGCCACGTCGGTCGACTTCGCCACAGCAGCCTCGACGACGTTCGCGCACCTCCGCAGAACCTTGTCGAACATGTAACTTGGTCAACTAGGTAAAGTCCCTGGCAACCCTGCAAGGTAAAGTCCCTGGCAACCATGAGGAGATAACTCGTACAACGGGAGCTTGACTGCGGGGAAGGCACCTGTGTGAGAGGGATCTCTGCGTTCGCTCGTTCCTTCGTTTCCTGGTGCGCACACTGCTTGCTAGTTCACGGGGGATATTGGCAAGAATTCCACTAGGAAAACATGACAATGGTAGTTCAGAATGATAGCAACAACGTTGGCAACACAGACTACATCAGAGCTAGCTAGGTTGCTGCTCGACCTCCAACGCAGCATGGTCGACCGCGTTCCAGCGCAGCAATGCTCGCACCGCTCCAGCGCTGCAGAGATGCGGCGCGCCAACGTTGCATGTCCATGGTGTGCCGGTGTCCACCCGCAGGACAACGGTGCACCTGCTTCGCAGGTGTGCGCGGCTGGTTGGCGTCCAACGCCCCGTCACGTGCCCAGCGCAGACATTCCCGCCCGTGACGGCGCCCATCAGCCACGTCGACCTCGGGATACCACCCCTAAGGTCGTCCTCGCAGAAACTACCCCGACGACTTCGCACACGTCGCCCGGGTATCCTGGTCGACCGGGCAACCCCGCCTGGTCGTCCGGCCCAGTCGGACGCCGGCTACGTCAATCTCGGCGTCCCAAGTCGGCGTCCCAGTGTCCGCAGGTCGGCGTCCACTCGCCCAGGACGCCGTCCAGGCGCCCAAGTCGGCGTCCAGGCGCCCGGGACGCCGAGCAGACGCCCAGGTCGGCGTCCAGGCGCCCAGGACGCCGAGCAGACGCCCAAGTCGGCGTCCAGGCGCCCAGGACGCCGAGCAGACGCCCAGGACGGCGTCCAGGCGCCCAGGACGCCGAGCAGACGCCCAGGACGCCGAGCAGACGCCCAGGACGCCGTCCAGACGCCAAGGACGGCGTCCACCTGCTCGGCGCCCTCCAGCACAACGCCCTCGCAGTGGCCCCCCGTGCCCACTGCCACAGGTCGGCTGCATCACCCCGGTACACCCGACCACGAGATCGGCTCCGCCCAAGCGAGGACGGGGCCGAACACAACTCCCGTTGACACTTCGCGCACCTCCGCAGAACCTCGTCGAAAAGGTAACTTGGTCAACTAGGTAAAGTCCCTGGCAACCCTGCGAGATGATGAGCTTCGTCATCACCAGTTGACGCGGGTTGACGACCTTCGTCGACCACCTTCGTCGAGCACCTCGGTCGACATTTCAAAATGTCAGCCCCTGATTGGTCGAAATTAGGGCACATTCGAATTTCTGGCCAAAATTCGCCTATGCAGTCTCAAGGGGGCGCAGGGTCAGACGCGACCTTGCGCAGACGAACACACGCGAACCTCCACACCTAGCGTGCAAGTTGTACATGCGCACGGGAAGTCTGTTTTGCACTCACGGATGCTTCAATTACTCTTGCATGGATTCCCTAGTACACCTCGTGTACAGGCAACCCTCATACACATGCAGAAGGTCGGGTGCACCTCCCGCACACCCGACACGAAGTCAGCTTTGCCCATGCGAGGGCGATGCCAACTTTCTTCAACACTCCCCATGCCGCGCTCACGCTTGGGCACTCCCCACACAAGGTCCACTCATAACCCAAGGGATAGAATACACTAGGAAAATCATTCTTCAGTGTGCACACAACACACAGCACGCCGGTCACCGCACCAGCTGTGCAGAAGGGCACGGCACCTACTGCTGCACATCGTCGTCACTGTCGCCGACGTCAGCCAGACGAACTTGGCCGATCACGATGGAGCACCGTTTGAAGGCCGGAAAGTGCAGCCCATTCGTAAGGAAGTTAGCCGGCTGCTCAGAGGTGGGGATGTACTTCAGCACAATCCTCCCACTCTTCACCGACTGCTGCAGCCAGGCGTAGCATCGCTCCATGTGCTTGAGGTTGCCCTCAACTCCAAGCCTTCTGCAACAGTGATGGCCGACCGGTTGTCCACATAAAGGACGGTCGGCGTCCCAGGGTCCAACAGCTTGAACTCTGCAAGTAGGAACTGGAGTCGACGAGCCTCCTTGCCAGCTTCCGTGGCCGCGACGTACTCTGACTCGGTCGAGGAGAGCGTCGCACACTTGATGCGCTGGCTCGACCAGGAATCTGCGGCCCCTCTGAAGACGAACACATAGCCACCCGTGCTCGTCCGTTTCTGCTTGTCACCTACGTCGTCTGCGTCCACGTAGCCGACCAGGCACGACGAATCTGGTCCACCGCCGAACTCCAAGGCGGTGTCACGAGTGTCGGTGAGGTAGCGCAGACAGCGGTCGACCTCCGCACTGTCAGGACACTTTTCAGCTTGCTGCACGCGAACGCGATGTCCGGCCTCGTCATCGTCACCACGAACTGCAACGAGCCAACCTTCTGCCTGTACCCCTCCTCCTTGCGCGCCTGAGCATCCTCGTCATCGAATATCAGTTCCGCATAGGCGTCGACGGAGACCGGCATCTTCGGGATGCGCTCGGCCTGCTCCTCGTCGATGAAATGCCTGCACAGCTTGTCGACGTACGACTGCTGGTGCAGCCACAGCTTCCTTGCCGACCTGTCGCGAACGATTTCCAGCCCAAGGTACCTCTCGACCGGGCTGATCTCGCGCAGCTCAAAGGCAGCCTCCAGCAGCTCCTTCATCTCCTTCAGCATCGAGAGGCTGCTGCTGGCGGCAAGCAGGTCGTCGACGTAGACAAGGACCCAGCACGTTACTCCTCCGTCGCCGACCGACCTTGAAGTAGAGAGCCTCGTCGACCTGGCTCTTCTTCCAGCCAGCGCCCAGCAGCACTCCATCAAGGGCCCTGTACCACATCAGCGGTGACTGCTTCAGTCCGTAGAGGCTTTTCAACAGCTTGCACACCCGGCCAGTTCCATCGTCATAGTAGTCTGGTTGGTACATGTACAGCACCCTGTCCAGCTTACTCTGCAGGAACACATTCTTCATGTCGAGCTCCATTAGGTGCAAGTCGAGGACGGCGACGATGCTGAGGAAGATCCTTAGCGTGACGTAGCTGTTGACCGACGCGTACGTCTCTTCGTAATCGGCGCCGTACACTTGCGTGAAGCCCTTTACAACCAAGCGTGCCTTCTCGCGAACGACCGTATCATCGATGTGGTACTTCGTCGTCAGCACCCACCGGTTCTTCATGATGTTCACCCCGCGCGGACGTTCGACCAGCTCCCATGTGCCGTTGGCGATGAGGCTGCGAATCTCTTAGTCCATCGCCGACTTCACCGCCTCGCCTTTCCAGCTCGCGGGGGCCTCTTTCACTGTCATCGTCGCGATATCCCAGCGATGCTCAGGGTCAGCATGCACGTCAGGGTCGAGCTCGGGCAGGTCGACGTCGTCCTGCGCATCGTCAAGCAACGTGCTGTAGGAGGTAGGGGGGCAAGCAAGCATGAAATCTCAGCTTCTCGTGAGGCTTGCCAAAGTTTATACGAGCGGAACATCGCAGCGGAGGCTCGTCAGCATTGACTTCCACCACATCGCTGTCGGTGGACTGCTCCTCTGCAGACAACTCCCCTTTATCGTCGTTAGGTTCACCAATGACCTCCACAACGTCACTCGACGAACCATCGTCGAGCTGCTCCCCTGTCGGCGATTCCTTTGTAGAAGCTTCCTTCGTCAACGGCTCCCCTGCCAGTGGCATCTCTTGTTGGTGCAACCCTACGGTTTGCACTCGGCTTGTTGTCCGTGTGCATGTGCGTGCATGCGTGTGTGCATGGAGTGGTATGGGTGCATGAAATAAATATATATTTCATGCTTATAATGGTGTGTGAATGATGGGTCATGATGTCGAGTGTGTGTGTCAAGTCAATAGCGAGTTATCGCTAGCCGCGTATTACGCGGTCATTTTGTGTGTCCCGTGCGGTTTCTATTTTGTCGTGTGCGTTTTCTATTTTGTCGCTTGTCGTGTTAACGAGAGCGAACTGGAATGGTGGACTAGCAAGGATTGTGAGTACAAATATGAAACCCTAATGTTGTGACCCCCCTATAGGCTAACCCACTACAGCCTACACAAATACAACATATATAATATTTGACACACCCCCATAGGCAAAGTGGGGAGACCTAGGGGTCACAAGACCAGTCAAGGCAAAGCAAGGCAACAACAAGCTCAGGGTGGATCTCAAGGATTCCACACAAATTCCGAGCACAAGCTAGTGGTCACAAGACCAGTTCACATGCAAGTTTATAACAGAGCAAGAGATACAGTGATCACAACCTAGCAAGAGTAAACATGCAGGTATAGATATATATAGTGATCACAGTACAAGCAAAGTCAAGAGGTAAGCAAGTGAGGTCCAGTAGGCACAAGGCCTAGTAGAGTGCAGAAGCGCTGATGGTCACGAGGCTGAAGCGCCTTGGTGAACACATCAGCAGTGTTGGCCTCAGTGGCCACGTAGCGAATACAAAGCTGACCGCGCTGCTGCAGCTCTCGAGCAAGGAAGTACCGCAGGGCGATGTGCTTCGTTCTGTGCTCCAGTCTGTGCTCCTCACACAAGGCAATGGCAGCCTTGTTGTCGACGTACAGTACTGGAGGAGAACGAGGCTGCTCTCCGAGGTCGGTCAGCAGGTAGGTCAGCCAGCGTAGCTCCTGGGCAGCCATGGCTGTAGCGTAGATCTCAGCCTCGCAACTGGAGCCGAGAACAGAAGAAGAGCGTGTAGAACGCCACGAAACTGAGCCAGAGCCAAGGCTGAAGGTGTAACCCTGAGACGACCGCTGAGTGGCCTGGTCGTCTGCCCAAGAAGCGTCTGAGTGCCCTGTGAGAACAACTCGGTCTCGCCCTCCAAGCACAAGCCCCATGCCCGACGTACTGCACAAGTAGCGCAACACCCTCTTAGCGGCATCCATGTGCTCCTTCCTGTGACGGCCAGGAGCGACATAGCGTGCAAGGATGCTAAGAGGGTATGCAAGGTCAGGTCGAGTGCAGGTCATCAGGTACATGAGGCAGCCCACAAGCTCTGGATATGGGCCACTCGGCTCTACGGACTCATCCGAAGGCAGAGCTGAGAGCGAGTGACCGGTAGGCAGAGGAGTGGACTGAGGCGAGGAGTACGTGAAGCGGAAGCGCTGGAGAACCTGCTGCACCATGTGTGACTGAGTCAGGGTGATGGTGCGCCGTGCTCTGTCCCGGGTGATCCGCAAGCCAAGATAGCTTGTCAGCTCACCCAGGTCTGTGCACGTGTGTCTCCTCTGCAGCTCCGACTTCATGTAGGCGAGTCCTACAGTGTCAGCAGTGGCAAAGACCAAGTCGTCGACGTACACGAGGATGTAGAACGGCGGCAGCGAAGTGTCGGTGCGCAGGAACAGCGACGGGTCAGCTGTAGAAGGCGCGAACCCAAGAGCCGCAAGTGTAGTCCTCAGTGTGTCGTGCCACTCACGCGGAGCCTGGTGGAGACCGTAGACCGGCCGCTGAAGCCTCCACTGGGTACCAGGAGGAAACGACCCAGTGAAGCCAGGTGGGCGGCGCAGCCAGATCTCCTCGTGCAGGCTGCCCTGCAAGAAAGCAGTGCTGAAGTCAAGTGAGTGAAGCTCGTAGTTGCGGTGAGCGGCTATGTGCAGCAGCACCCGAAGAGTAGTCATCTTCGGGGTGGGGGAGAAGGTCTGGAAGAAGTCAACTCCCTCTCGCTGACTGAAGCCTCGAGCCACGTAACGCGCCTTGAAGACAGGCGGAGAACCCGGCGGCCGCTTCACCCTGAAAATCCACATGCCACTGACGATGTTCGCCCCAGGAGGGGGAACCTCGTCGACGTAGGTGCGTGTGGACTTCCAGGAAGCCATCTCGGCGTCCATGGCTGTCTGCCACTGAGAGGAGTAGGGACCCGCCATCGCCTCAGCGTAAGTGCGCGGGGTCGGGATGTCTGGTGCATCCGGGTCTCCCTCAGGGGCAACTAGCAAGGACACGAGACAGGGCAAAGCAGCAGCAAGACACTGGAACTCCTCCTGTCTGTCCTCAAGGACGTCCGTGCCAAAAGCACACTCACCCCCGACGGACGGAGGACAGACAGACTCAGACTCAGACTCAGCAACAAGGCTAGCAGCGTAGTCTAGACGACAGGCGGCAGCAAAGTCAACCAACTCAGCGACCAGAGCAGACGCAGCCGAGGACTCAAAGGTAGGGTCAGTGACAACAGTAGCGAGGAGACGCGTGACAGTAGGGTGCTCAGCACGATACCGGTCAGACTCAGGGTCCGGAACGTCAGGCAAAGAGGACGCAGGAGGAGACGGTAGAGGGACACGCTGAGGAGCAGTAGAGGGACGCAGAGTCATGTAGTGAGTGCCTGGGACAGGAGGAGGACGCTCACGACGGACACGACTACCAGTGCGAGCAGGACGAACAGGCGACGCAGGACGAGACTCAGGCTCACGACGCTCTGTAAGACCTCCTGTGGGACCAGTGTAAGGAGAGGGAGCAGGGAGAGGCGAGGTAGGCGGTAACTGTGACTGCGGCTGGACAGGCGGAGGACACTCTACGGAGGGAGGAGGACAAGGAGGAGGAGCCTGCCCAAGAACCTGCTGAAGGAGCGGTACGAAGTACGGTCGCGGCCGCGCAGCGTCTCCAGAAGCAGAGGAGACTCCAGCGGCCGGGTCCTCAGTACCAGTAGGAGCTCCAGCGTCCGGGTCCACAGCACCAGCAGCAGCTCCACCGGCCGGGTCCTCAGCACCAGTAGTAGCTCCAACGCCCGGGTCCTCAGCAGCAGCAGCAGCGCCACCGCTCGGGTCCTCAGCTCCAGCAGCAGCTCCACCGTCCGAGTCCTCAGCACCAGCAGCAGCTCCACCGTCCGGGTCCTCAGCACCAGCAGCAGCGCCACCGCCCGGGTCCTCAGCTCCAGCAGCAGCTCCAGCGTCCGAGTCCTCAGCACCAGCAGCAGCTCCACCAGGCGGGTCCGCAGCACCAGCAGTAGCTCCAACGTCCGGGTCCTCAGCACCAGCAGCAGCGCCACCCCCAGGGTCCGCAGCACCAGGAGCACCACTCCGAAGACTGCAGCGCCGTGTGTACCACTCGCGGATCTGCTGAATGGGGGGGAGCTCCTGGGTAGGAGGGGAAGTACCGGGACGAGCTCCAGCAGCACCTCTCCGGAGGCGGCAGTACTCGAGGTACCTCTCCTGCAGCTGCTGGGAGGAGAGGGCTCCTCCAGGTGTAGCACGCTCAGGCTCAGCACCCCCAGACTCAGCACCCCCAGACTCAGCACCCCCAGGCTCAGCACCTCCAGGCTCCGCACCTCCAGGCTCCGCACCTCCTGGCTCAGCACCCCCAGGCTCCGCACCCCCAGACTCAGCACTCCCAGGCTCAGCACCCCCAGACGCAGCACCCCCAGGCTCAGCACCCCCAGACGCAGCACCCCCAGGCTCAGCACCCCTAGCAGGACGAGAGTCAACAGCTACCTCGACAGGCTCACCCGGGTCTACCTGGGACACACCTGAGGGAGCGGCACCCTGAGGGGGGAGGGGGTCTGGTACCTCAGCACCTGGAGCGAGGAAGAGAGGCGGGGGGGGGAGCGGAGCAGTGCGGTAGGGGAAGAGGCGGTAGTAGGGGACGGACTCGTCAAAAGTGACGTCCTGAGAGGCCAGGACACGACGCGAGGTGGGGTGGTAGAACTGCCAGCCAGGGGCGTCCGGGACAAAGCCAAGGAAGACGCAGGGGACAGCGTGACGGGAGAGCTTGTCCGCGGACGTGTCGCGGACAAAAGCTCGGGATCCCCAGACCCGAAAACGCGACGCATCGCCAGCCTCTCCCGTCCAACGCAGTGTCGGAGAAGTCTCGGGCAAGGAGACACTGGGCCAGAGGTTGAGCTGATGCGCAGCGTATCGGACTGCAAACGGCCACAGAAAATGGGGGGCAGCCGCATGGCTCAAGGAGGTACGAGCGACCTCCATGACCAGACCAATGCGGCGCTCAGCAACCCCATTCTGCTGTGGAGAGGCCGGAAGCGTGTACGACTGCTCAATGCCCTCCTGCTGACAGAAGGCCTCCAATAGGCCAGAGGAAAACTCCCCACCTCTGTCAGAGTGCAGACGCAGGACAGGGAAGTCGGAGCGGAAACGCTCACTGAGCTGGAGACGAGATCTGCGGATCCAAGGGATCAAGACATCAGGGACGTCACCCTTGGCGCGCAAGGGGAAGACCGTGGTGTAGCGCGAGAAGTCGTCAACAACAATCAGGAAGTACCTCTCCTGACCCTGACCACGGACGCGGGCTGGGCCCCACACGTCCATGTGGAGCATCTGCAAGGGAGCAGTCGTCGGGGGAAAGGAGGAGGAGTGAGGAGCGGCGCGCTGCCGTCCCTCGACACAGGGAATACAGGGAGGAGCAGGCGAGTCGGGAAGGGGAGGGAGCACCCTGGGAAGACCAGCAACAAGGTCCCGTTTGTGCATGGCCCGAAGGCACTGCACAGACGGGTGACCAAGGCGGTGGTGCCAAAGGACAGTCTCATGCGCCAGAGAGCGACACGAGCAGGGGGCGGACAGCTGACCTGACGCAGACGCAGACGTAGACGCAGACGCAGCTACCTGAGGGGACTCAGTGGTCAGTGTGTACAGGTCCGACCCCGGCTCTCGAGTGAAGGTAGCCAGGTGGCGACCCGTCCGAGCACACGTGCAGTGTGTCACGCGCTCGTAGGCAGGGGTGAACTGGTGAACACCCCCGTCCTGGAGCTCTCGGCCTGCCACCAAGTTCGTAGAGAACGAGGGGAGGTAGAGACCTGACAGCGTGCCGGACGGGACCGCAGGACAAGGAAGGACAGTGGAGGAGGTCGCAATGACCGGACCCCCAGAGGGGTCAGCAAGAGAGACAGCAACTGGCCGAGCGAGTGGCTCAAGGACAGTGCGGTCACGAAAGAAGGAGCGAGAAGCACCTGAGTCCAGTGTGAAGGTGTGCAGTGCTGTAGTCGACTCAGTACCAGGGGGCACGGACGCACTAGCACCTAGGGCAGCAGCCTCACCAGGACCTGTGGGAGCGGACGCACTAGCACCTAGAGCGGCAGCCGGACTGGCCTGAATGCCCGGGTCGGGCGGAACACGCAAGTACTGAGCACCCTCTCCACTAATAGACATCGCATACATGGCAGTGAGAATAGCATCAAAGTCTAGAGCCCAAATATCAACACCCCTCTTTTCCAGCTCAGCCCAGCGCGGCAGCTCAGTGGCACTAGGAAACTGGGTGCGCCACGCGTCGTTAAGGCGCGCGAAGCAGCGCTGCGTGGGGTGCGGCCTCCCACACTGCTGGCCGCTGCGGTCACCTGTGCGAATGACGTACGTGCAGGTAAAGCCACGCTGCGCATACCACTCACGGGCGGCCTGAAGCGTCGGGGTGGGCTGCTGACTCTGCCCTCCGCCAGTGCCTCCACGACCACCACCCCCACCGCCGCCGCCCCGGCCACCTCCACCCCTGCCGCCGCCACGACCACCTCCGCCCCCGCTGCCGCCTCCGCCCCTGCCACCACTCCCGCCGCTGCTGTCTCCTCCCCCACTGCCGCCACTGGCCTCCTCAGCCGCGCCTCCACTCCCACCGCCTCCACCCCCACCTCCTCCGCCACCACCCCCACCCCTGCCCCCCTTGTTCCTGCGGCGCCCGCTCGAAGCAGACGCGGTCCCGACCTTCTCAGCACCAAGGAGGTCGACAGCAGCAGCAGAGGCGACAGAGGGGAGGAGAGGGGAAGGGGAACACCCCTCAAAGAACGGGGTGCGGGGGTCACCACGAGAGGTGCCTACAGCGACGATGCTCGCCTCAGCTGCAAGCAGTTCCTTCTCGAGGAGGGCAACAGTGAGCTCAGTGGGGGAGCGAGAGAGGAAGTGGTCCCTGACTGCGCGCAGAGAGTCAGGGAGCCGGGTGACGATGTGGTAGAGAGTGATCCAGAGCGGGGGGGGGTTGCTAGTGAGAAACTCGGCAGGCATAGCAGCGCGAAAGCGGGCCTCACTGGTCTTAAGGTGGGTGATGAGGTCTGCGACAGTGTGAAAGGAGGCTAGGTCGGGGAACAGGTAGGGGAGAGTGAGGCGGCCTAGCGTGGCAGAAGCGGGTGAGGAGTAGCGGGCAACTACAGCTGTGTAGAAGTCCTTGGCAGTCTTGCACTGGCCGAAGTGCTCGCGTTCGTCTAGCGGCAGGGAGTTGCGTATAGCAAAGCGAGCGTGCGCATCACGGGTCTGCCACTGGGAACGCAGAGTGCTGTCAGCAGACGAGTCAGGGGCAGTGGCATGGCCTAGGGCGTGGTCGTACAGTGAGATATCTTCCTTGGCAGTGAGCTGTAGGAACAGGTGCAGGTCATCTAGCCAGGTTTCGAACTTCACTGGACGGCCCTCGGCATCGAAAGCTAGAACTGGAGGACTAGCCATAGTGACAGTAGCAGTAGCAGTAGTAGCAGTAGTAACAGTAGTAGTAGGAATCAGGCCGCTGGAAAGGTGTGCGGAGGGTCAACGGGGCCGGCGGGGCCGCTAGGCAAGGCGCGGGCGGGGTCGACTGTCCGTAGTGGCACACGAGCGGCAGTAGTAGGTAGCGTGGCAGCAGGAGCTGCAACGGCGCACTGGTGGCAGCTGCAGTGGCAGCAGTGTGCGCGGTAGGTAGAAAATAAACAACAGTGAGAGCGAGTGCCTCGCGGGCAGCGGCTGCAGAAGCGCACGGGCGGCAGCGGCGCACGGGCAGCGGCAGCGTAGGGGCAGCGACGGCGCACGGGCAGCGGCGGCGCACAGGCAGCGGCGGCGCTCGGGAGGCAGCGGTGTGCAAGCAGCAGCGGAAGCAGCGGTGTAAGAGCGGCTGCGGGCAGCGGGGCGTGCGCGAGCAGGCGACGGGCGGCTGCGGGCGGGCGGCCGCTGCGACGGCGGGCTGCGGGCCTGCGGGGCGTGCGCGAGCAGGCGACGGGCGGCTGCGGGGCGTGCGCGAGCAGGCGACGAGCGGCTGCGGGGCGTGCGCGAGCAGGCGACGGGCGGCTGCGGGGCGTGCGCGAGCAGGCGACGGGCGGCTGCGGGGCGTGCGCGAGCAGGCGACGGGCGGCTGCGGGGCGTGCGCGAGTAGGCGACGGGCCGCGCGCGAGGGAAATAAGGCGCGCGCGGGCAACTGGCGGGGCGCACGTATGAAAACGACCGCGCGCGAGCGGCTAAGGGGCGGCGCGACGGGGCCTTAAGGGGCGGGTCGCGGGTCGCGGGATGTAGGTGTCAGAATGTTATATTTGTCTAGCCTGCAGTGGGGTGCTCTGTAGCGAGTACAACCCTTCTAGGGTTTGCTATTTGTATCCCCATTCTTGCTAGTTCAACCCTCCCTCTTTTGCCTATTCTTTCGACATGCTATCAGAGCAGGTCGACCCTCCTGGGTCGATCCTGTGGGTGGGCCCACCACCTAATGCTTCCGCTGCTGTACTTCCTGCCGGGCGCCTCGGGCGCGCGACGACTTTCATCCCGCCGTGCGCTCGGGGCGCGCGGCGGTTTTCTGCACGCCGTGCGCCCCGAGGCGCGCGGCGGTTTCCCACCGTCGAAGCGCCCTCCCCCCGTCGCCGTCGACCCCCCGCGTCGCCCCGCAGCCCCGCGCGTCGCCCCCGACGTCTCGTCGCGACACCTTGGGGAGCCGCGCGCGGCCCCCCGCTACCTCGTCGCGACGCCGTGGGGAGCTGCGCGCGGCCCCCGCTGCCTCGTCGCGACGCCTTAGGGAGCCGCGCGCGGCCCCCCGCTGCCCCGTCGAGGCGCCCTGGGGAGCCGCGCGCGGCCCCCGCTGCCCAGGGTCGGCGCCCTGGGGGTCGCGCGCCTTCCCCCTCGCCGTCCCCCGCGCTCCTTCTCCCTTTCGCCCGTTTTAGGGTTTGGGGGTGGGGAGTGTGGGGGTGGCGGCTGTGGGGGTGTCGGTTGTGCGTTACTCTACCTACTCCTCCTCCTCCCTAGTCTCCCTCTACTGCAGCTACCACTGAGGGGGGTGGTGTGTGGGAGTCTAGGGTTTGGGGTTTAAGGGGGGGTACCGTGGGAGTGGAGCTAGGGGTGAAGCAAGGGGTGTGTGTCGAGGGGTGTGGGACTGTTGGGGGAGGTTGAGCGGAGACTGCCGTCGTGTCGTCCGCAGCACCTGTATTCCGGGGTTCCGCGGACCTCCGGTAGCTCAGAGAGCCGGCTGCACCTGTCGCCCGTGGGTCCGCTGCACCCTCCGCAGCGACTATTACCCCTGTAGTCCGGGGCTCTGCTTCCGGTAGCCACTAGCGTTGCGCCAGAGCCGTCTGATGCCCGTGTGTCTGCAGCTTCAGTCGTCGCCTCCACTCCTTTCTCCTCTCGCCAGCCCTCCTCCTCCTCATTTGTCCTCTGTGACCGCCTCTAGCTTTGCTCATAACTTATAAACTGTTGCTTCTTGAACTTGTGCTCAGAATGTGTGGTGACATCGTGATCCACCCTGAGCTTGTACTGCTTTGCTTGCTCTGCTGATTACACCCCACTTTGGCTATGGGGGTGTGTCAGAATGTTATATTTGTCTAGCCTGCAGTGGGGTGCTCTGTAGCGAGTACAACCCTTCTAGGGTTTGCTATTTGTATCCCCATTCTTGCTAGTTCAACCCTCCCTCTTTTGCCTATTCTTTTGACAGTAGGGGCCGTAAAAAATTCGAGGCGCCCTAGGTAGGTAGGTAGGTAGGTAGGTAGGTAGGTAGGTAGGGAACGGTGGGCCCTTAAAAAACGGTCCTAGCGAAGGACCTGCTCTGAAACCATGTTAACGAGAGCGAACTGGAATGGTGGACTAGCAAGGATTGTGAGTACAAATATGAAACCCTAATGTTGTGACCCCCCTATAGGCTAACCCACTACAGCCTACACAAATACAACATGTATAATGTTTGACATGTCGAACGTTCGACGTGTCGTAGGATCGTGAAGCAGACCCATCAAGAACTCAAGGATGAGTTTGTGATGAATTACCCGAGCCTTGGTTGCAAGCTACCAGTGATTTCGAAGCTCGCCGAAAGGGTACACCTCAAGATATTGAAGATTGTTACATTACAATGTGTATTGTAGCATTTCTATGGGTGTAGGCCCTTGTGGAGGGTAGTTTCGAGACCCTTCTTGGTTGGGGACAGTGTGGCACTGTTTCCCATCACTGTACCTCGGCTCTTGGGGTTTGTAGGAGCTGGGAGTCCTTCCTAGCTGTTCGTAATTGTGTTCTAAGACTATCTTGCTGCCATAGTGCCGTTCGTTCAATCTTACTATGTGTCGTCAATTCTTGATGAAATCGCGCGATCTAATTTGCTTATAGTATGCGACGTTAAGACGCTCCAGATCCAAGTTGAATGAGGTCATTTGGAGCTGTGACCAGATCGCTATGAACGTTTGAAGCCGCTGTGCAGAAATCTGACTGTGCACTCTATCTTTGGTTCTAGGCACATTGAAGCCTACTGTGTTTATAACATCTCTTCCACCCGCAGCTCC